CTAGACTTTGGACTAACCTGGCTATACATAAGACCATATTAGTCCAAAGTCTAGTCTCCCCTGCCTCCCTCACGAAAAAATTCTTTTGTTCGAACTATAAAGAGTCGTCACTTTCCGTTGCTACATCAAATTCTTAATCACCTTCAATGGTTAAGATTGTTGTCAAGACTCAAGCTCAGTTTTGCGAAAGATAACGAATTAAATTGCCTGGAAAAAACGAAATCTCATCAAGCACTACGAATAATTCAAGTCCATAGCTTAGTGTGTTCTGCTCATTTTCTGTAGGACCTTACTGAAAAGTTTTGTTCCAGGAAATCGATACATGTCCGGTGAAATTCATTCCATCCAACAGTGACAATAATCGAAGAATGCAATATGGATTATTGTTAACAGGTGATCAGTTGCTATGATCTAGCTAGCTACTGTCCGAGTTCAAACCACGCGGAGTACTGTAGTGATGCTGATTTCATGTAAGGCGGATGGTAATTTTGTTGACTGCATGATGAACAAACATTTTAGACCACATGACATCCTTTATTTTGCTGAGCCCGGTGCTGATGTCTATCGTTTAATTAGCTAACAAATCTATTCCGAACAACTTATGGAAATAATCTGGCTCCAGATATAGACTTTGCCCAATTGCATAGCGCTCATACGATTTGTAATTCATTATAAGTACGATTACTCTCAAATGAGGAGTAACCTATCGTTACTGCAGTTTATTCGCTAAGGTCAAAGTAGAAGTCTTAGCACCAAATCACGCATAATATTTTCAACCCAGATGTGAAGGCGCAGCTCTCCGAGGAATACCCCCGACATACCATGAGAACAGTAAGCGTTTCGCATTTTGATTGGTTGAAATACATCGACAGACTAACCAATCCGCTTGCCGTATTCACATCACATGGTCTGATCCGGTCTTTGGCGCATGCTGCCGTTCCTTGTAACCACATTGTGAACCGCGTGCACACACACGAGCGCGTGCAGCTTGCACACACGCACACGCACACACACATCTACATGCCACACAAGTGGATTGCGACGGGAACACAACTCAGACGAATCGACAGCTCCGGCAAAACGGGGACGCTAAAGAGTGTCAGAAATCATCTTCCCGTATCTGCTCGACTGGCTACTATATAAGTCCCTCTGTGAGACAGCCCACAAGCATCAAGTGTAAATTGCATACGTAACTGGTGGAACTTGACAAGTTGTTGGGATTTACCAACGTGCACGAGCATAGAGTGAGTTAATTCATCTGTTCGCATACTTTTTATCACAGTTCATATTTTGAAATCGCTCCGGTGGATTCGTTTTTTTCACTTTATAGTATTACGAACTTCATGCATATTGTATATGGTTATGTATTGCATATAATTATGTGCTAACGCGTGTTCTAATTGTCAATTGGAATTCTAGAATTCGTTAACTATTTGATTTAACTATCTGAAAGTCAATTTCCTAGGACACAGATTACCATAAGTGAAGAATTGCAATATGTTTTCAATATGTTTAATCGTATATTAATTGATCACAGTTTTTTGTTATATAAATTCACAGAAGGATCTATAGAGTTGTCTCATGTAGAACATAGGCAGAGTTAATTAATCCAATGACTATAAGGTCACCACATCTGATCTAAGTCATCCGGTGTTATAGTTCACCATATAATGGAAAAAATGTTTAGTACTTTTGAGTCGGAGCGGTCTCGTTTATGCGACAGGGTTTGTGTGTAAGGTGGCACCAGTGCAACCTAAACCCGCTTATCCACAAGAAAATCAATAGAACAAAAATCGATGTGCCGGTACGCGTGAGCATGATTTATTGTTTCAATTGATGAATATATATATATATATATATTTATATATATGTATAATCTCCATCGAAGGGTTCTACTTGGGGAATAAATATTGAAGTAGTTATCACTGTGCGGGATGAATATCAATTTTCTTTTAGTTATCGCTTGTAGGATAATACTTCAAACCGATAATTAGCATTCGAACATAGTTCCCAATTCGACGGCCTTGATTGTTCGTCCTCAAGATAGCTGGTGGGTCGAGGGAATTATAAGATGTGGTGTCCTGAAGTTGGGGGATGTTTTGTTTGCTATGATTCCAGATGAGTCCATGGTGTAATAAAACCACACGCTGTTTTGTGGCACTTATTCTCCAACCGTTTTGACGGGTGTTATGGGACAAGCAATGAAACTTTCTCCCACATATTCAACCCGTTATTCTACTCGCAAATGCGGGTCTCATGAGAGACAATCTGTGTTTTTACGACTCATTTAATGCCCCCTCTGGTCCACCCCGGGGAACAGGGGGTGGAGTGGGAGTGTGTGTGTGTGTGGGGGGGGATAACAACATGGCATAGGAAACACGGGGTTGCAGAACGAACTGTTGCCATATGCATTATCAAATTAAATAGAACAACTCAGTTGTCACACTCAATCACTAAGGGACGACATGACGATTGCAGTTCCCTTACGTAGGATCTGTCGAGTACGATAGTCAGGGAAAGATACGTCGTGTTTCTTTACTCGATGCGAGCATTTATCGGCAAGCGATTTCAAAGTGTCAGTATACATGACAGAAGGATTTGGACAGCAGATTTGATGCGGACAATTTCACCATGAAAACTTTTTTTACTTGAGTATGATGTAGAGACTTTCATCTCTCCAGGGTCGCCTTCTAGCGTTTGTCTACAGCTGACACGCGATCCATCTGTGGCTCCGAGAGGATACTCCTTAACACAGATGATGCTTGAAGCGGTTCTGCTAGACATCACGCCGTTGTCTTGCAGGTATAACGGGGTTGTGCAAATGTTAGAGAGGCTCCTCGGAATAGTGCTGCAGATGCACTTTCGTATCGTAATCCTATGATTTTTAGTGGATATCTGGTGTTTCAACTGAAGAGATGAGCTAACATTGAAGTCGGTCGTGAAGTGAGTAGGCCTACGCTCACCGATCTGAGTCCGTCTGTGCTACTGGATTGCGCGCAGTACAGACATCTGTTGCTTAGCATGGAAAGCTGATTTTCGAGGCATCCATTAAAAAGGCAGCTCATCACACGTAAAGTAATTGTGAAAAAGAGAAGTACAAATGCATAGCTAAAACACGTCCTGTTGATCCACTTTACCGGTGTCCAGATCTTTTTAAAGTTCCGCGTTTACTTTTGCTGACCAACGCTCTCTACCGCGCGTTCAATTCAAACCGATTAAGCCGTTACAACACCAAATCCTATTTATCAGCTGATCAGATCATTTTCTGATCCAACTTGCCAGTAATCGTTCAAACATGTTCACTGG